GGGGAAAGAAAATATTCTCAGTGATGTGAAGGCTCCAGCCTGATCACTCATCTCTGGTCCTAAATGAGCACAGGCCGTGACCTGAGCCACCCAGGGAGGGCAGCCTTTCTGCCCAGCAGTATCTCCCACACAGGGTCCAGCACTCGATCATGCCAGCACCTTCAGGACAGTCCCCATGGTTTATGAGAGAGTGCTTTTAATGGTTATTTAGTGAGTGCCCGGGGCACCCAATCTTGGGAGAGAGAGGCACAAGGACACCATTCTGCAGCACCAGCACCTGCCTACAGTGCCTGGGTCAGCCCTGGGTCTCAGAGCAGATGATGCAGGAACAGGCACTGCAGGGCCTGGTGGGGGAAGGCAATGTGCTCGGTCAGGAGGTGGCTGGACATGCACCCAACAGAGCTCATTTCCCAGAGGAGCTCAGCTGTGAACTGAACACAGCCCAGCACGTGGCCTGTGTGCCTCACGTGCCCATTTACCGAGAGGGTAGGAGACACAAGGCCTCCCTTTGGGGAACCTGGGTTATCAAACCTGATGAGGGAGATGAAAGCCCTGGGGAGGTCGAGGCTCTCATTCTAGAGGAAATAAAGTTATGGAGATACACAGGTGTGTATTCAGGTCAGGGAATGTGCCACCTGCTCCCTGAATGTCAACCTGGTGGGAAGGTGGGGAGGAAACCAGCATTGATGGAGCCTGGCTCAAGTCAGGGAAGCTGGGGGCTCCCTGCGTTGTCTTCACAGGTCCTCACGATGATCTCCAGTAATGGAAGGCATAGGTCCCCTTGTGGGAGAAGAATCCTCTGAGGCTGGCAGAGATTAAGTATTTTGCTTTATTTCTTTAGGGGGCAAATATAAAATGACCACCGACAAGTGGCTGGACCTCTCCCTGCAGGCACGAGAATTGTGTGAATGACGGGAATGAAGCCTCTACTTCCGGGAACTTAAATTCCAGGAGCAGAGATGGGCCGTGATCACGTGTAGGAATGAACAGACAAGGTGACCCTGGAGTGACAAGCGCTCTAGAGAGCCTACCCCAGGCGTGGAGCGTGGCATCGAGTGGGCAGGAGGCCCCCCTCTGAAGCTTGAAGTTCCCCGCAGTGACCCCACACACCCACTCCGATGAGTCCCCTGTGGACGGCTCACCTGTGAGTGCACACCTGAGGTGGTGCCAACACCGAACGACATTATGTGTCTTTTATTCTCTGGGTGGCACTTCATCAGATCCCAAAAACACCGATGTTCCACCTTCCCGGATGCAGAATTGCCCACCCCTGATGGGGTCGGGACGTGGATTGTGCCAAGTGCTCATGGCCACCAGCCAAGGGGCTATAAGGGGCGTTGTGTGAGGAGCCGGCACAGCCTCCTCCTGACGCCTCAGGTGACCAGCCAGCGGCTGTGACCACAGATCCCTGGAGATGGAGACCTTGCTCCTGACCGTTGTGCTGGGTCTGGTCGCTGCCCTGCAGGCCCAGGACCCCCTGTCCTTCACCTCGGAGGAGCAGGATGTGAGGCTGGGCCGGTGGGTGGGTGTAGGAGAAAGGCCATGGGGCCTGATTTAGGAGACATCATTTAAGGTTGGGGTTCCGACCCTGCACTCATGGCCTGGAGTGGTCAGAGGACGGACAGGGGATTCTGTTATTCTGCCAGCAGACACGGCCCCTCTGGTGACATAGGGTGGGAGCAGGGCAGCAGGTTTGGCTCAGGGGTCCTACTGCACTGACACCCAGAGCCAAAGGCCTTGCAGG